AAGGAGTGGAACCAAAGAAATGAAAAGAGAGACACATCATATGTCAACACCACAACGAGTCAGCCTAACTTAGAAACACCGAGCAACTTCAAAGAACTCAATAAAAAAGACATGACGGACTCATGCAATTCCTGGTATCCCTTGAAAAACCACCTGCATCTTCCTCTATCGCACTTTCAGGTAAGTTTCCCAGTTTCAATGGATTAATTACCTTGAGAAATTATCTGAAATGAATATGGATTATTGACTCAGGAGCTACAGATCACATGACAAACTCCATTACCCACTTCATCAATTATGATCCTTGCCCAATTGACAAGAAAATCACCACTGCTGATAGTTCGTTTGTCACTGTAGAAGGCCAAAAAGACATAACCTTATCACCTTCCCTCACTCTAAAAAATGTGCTCCATGTTCCTCAATTATCCACAAATCCTATATCCATACAAAAATTTACTAGTTACCATAATTGTCAAGCATTATTTAATCCTAACTTTTGCCTATTTCAGGACTAGGGATCAGGGAAGACGATTGGATTTGTTAAGGAGAGAGCTGAACTGTACTACCTAGAAGAGCTGAACAAATCTAAAAATAGCTACTCTATGTTATCCCTAGTTGACAAGAAATCTATTATCTGGCTTAATCACTTCAGATTAGGACAATCTTAAACATATGTATCCAAAAATTTTTCATAAATTGAAAAATGAAAATTTTGATTGTGAAACTTGTAAATTAGCCAAATATAAAAGAACCTCCTTTCCAAACAAGAATGAGAGGTGCAATACTCCATTCTATCTCATTCATATTGACAAACGGGAACCCTAAAAATTTTCCAACATCTCTGGGGCTCATTGGTTTGTATCTTTCATTGATGATTGTACTCGAGTATTTTTGATCTATCTCCTCAAAATAAATCTAACGTTAGTAACATTTTTCCCATTTTTCACACCATGATCCAGAATCAATTCGGGGTCAAAATAAAAAGATTTCATTCTAACAATGTTAAAGATTACTTCAACCAAACCCTACACTCTTACTTTCAGAGTGAAGCTATCATCCACGAATCCTCCTATGTTCACACCCTACAACAAAATGGGGTTAAGAAAAGGAAGAATGGTCACCTCGTAGCCTCCACTTATGCCTTCTCCACAACATTATACCCAAATCCTACTTGGGGGAGCTCTCTTAACTGTCACTTACCTCATAAACCGACTACCGTAAAAAACTTTGGGATTGAAAGCTCCAATGGATATTTTGTCATCTTTTTACCCCGAGATTCGAACCCGTAATAATCTGACACCCAAAATCTTTGGGTGCACTGCCTATGTTCACATCCATAGCCAGAACAGGGGAAAACTAGATCCAAGGGCACTCAAATGTATCTTCATTAGATACTCTGCCATCCAAAAAGGTTACAAGTGTTATCACGCCCCTACAAAGAAAATGCTTGTATCCATTGATGTCACTTTTGTTGAACAAAATCCCTACTTTACCAAACCTCATCTTCAGGGGGAGACTAAAATAGAAGAAGATGATGAAAGTATGCTTAACCCTCTTGACCTTACTCCACCACATCAAACCAATACTCTAGAAATTCAAAATTGGGAAGCTGGAGACAAAACTATCTTAAGATTTGGGAATGTATATTTCAGGCGTACAAGTTCAAACTGTGCTCCAATGCAGATTCAAAAATCTAAACCATCCCCTGAAGATGAGGTTTATCAGATCCAAGAAGCTCCTTTATATCCTATAACCAATTATATATCCTTCAATAATTTTTACTTCATACACAAAAACTTCATGGATACACTTGACGATATTTATATTCCTAATAATATTTATGAGACCTTATTCGATGAAAATTAGTAAAATGACAAGAAGATGAAATGCAAGCTCTAAAAAAGAACAAGACATGGACGATCATCAATCTACCGATAAGAAAAAAACTAGTTAGTTGTAAATGGTTTTCTCTGTAAAATATAAAGCTGTGGCACATTGGAGAGATATAAAGCAAGATTAGTGACGAAAGGGTACACTCATATATATGGCATTGAGTACCAGGAAACCTTTGCACCAGTAGCCAAGATGAACACTGTTAGACTTCTACTCTCAATTGCAGTTAAGTACAATTGGCATCTAAAACAATTGGATGTAAAAATGTATTCCTACATGGGTATCTGGAAGAAAATATATTTATGTAAATACCACCAGTATTTAAGAAAAATTTTGGAGGTAACAAGGTGTTTAAATTGAAAAAGGATCTATATTGGCTTAAAAAATCACCCAGGGCCTGGTTTGGAAGGTTCTCTAAATTCATGCTCCTTAATGGGTATAAACAAAACTAAGGGGATCATACACTATTTTTTAAACATTCAAACTCAGGAGAAGTTGCAATAATATTTGTATATGTTGATGACGTTATCTTGACCGGGACTAATGAAAAGGAGAAAGTAAGTTTAAGAAAAAACGAAGGTTTAAAATTGTGTAAATAAGCCTCATGCGATTTTCATCTGTGAGGCGAGGCGTAAGCTTCGAGGCGGTGTGAGGCGTATGCCTCACGGACGAAGAATTGCGTAAATAGTAGGTAAATTATATTAAGATTATATCATATAATAAAAACATCTAAATGACATGTGAAATTAGTGGAAGTAAGAAAATAGATGCAATAAAATCATGTCCCAAAGTACAGAACCACAAAATATTAGTCTATCAAAACTCCCAAAGTACAAATAAGAAAGAACATATAAAATCCAATCATGTCCCATCACTAAATGGGTATTTAAGAGAATCTTCGTCTCCAATTGTATCTATGAATCTCATATCTTCATCATCTTCAATATGACTTACTTTTCTCTTTCCTGTTCAATAAGAATGACCATTATCATGTTAATTGCCCATTTGATATAAATTTAATGTAATAGTGTATAAGAAGTTGTGAAATACTTTTATTTAGTTGTTGTGCTGCAAATCTAGTGGATATGTATGGTGTGGTACAAGTGGATATACCCATTTGATCTGCTATGCCCCTCAAGACATCCACACTTAGATCCTCTAGCTGCAGGTCTGATAATGACAAATCTGCCTCATCATCTATAAATCACTCATTATCAGATGACACATCATCACACACCAACCGGTCCTCATCATCCTTCAACCGCTTTTTCCTCAACCTCCATCTCTCAACCTCTTGTTGTGCATAATATACACATGGGAGTTCATTCTGAGTGTTGAAAGTCGATTTCTTCTCTTTGTTTGCACTTGACTATATGTACTCCAGTTTCGTTCACACCTAGAAGAAGAACAAGTGAGGCCCAAAACTCTAACAACAAAACTCAGGGGTGGAATCACTAAATTGGATCCACCATTCAACTATTTTTAAGAAGAAAAATGATAATAAGAACATATTAAAGTGCATGCATTTACAAAAATAAGTTTACTAGGAGATCGTTTGACAATAGTTGATTTTGTGCAATTGAGGCGCGCCTCACTCTACTTGAGGCGTAAGCCTCAAAAAACGCCAAAATTGCTTAGGCAATAAGGCGTCATCGGTCCAAATTGCTCTTATTGCACAATTTTAAACTATGGAAAAAACTTTACCAATGAATTTGATATCAATGAACTTGGTAGACTAAAATATTTTCTTGAAATTGAAGTAGCTCATTCCAATAGAGGAATCTTCATCTCACAGCAAAAATACATCAAAGAACTGTTGGTTTCTTTGGTAAATCCTTTGTTTGTTTACAGTTTCATGTAGTCTCTCCACCAATTAATGGTGGCTCTATTGACATAAGCCCCTCTATTAAGGCCTAAAATATTAGAGAGTTAGAACCAAAGAGAGACTAAAGTTGGACTTCATATACTCATTTTCAATGTAAAATTTTAAGCCTAAGAGATGTGGCACTCATTTGGTATTTTAACACCAATTTATTTTTTGAATACTTGATGTGATACTGAGCCTAAGCATATCTTAACAATTTTGCCTTAATATGATCTCTCTCTCTCTTTGCTATCACTTCTACTCAAGTAGATGTTTTTTTTTTTTTTTTTCAAAATCATTAAGCACCATACATCGAAAGTCCACTCAACCATATGGATCTATTGTTGGAGTCACCTGGGAATCTTGCTCAACCATGATAGTAACAACCAAAATATATTACATGAAACATTTGATGGTAGTTGAACCTTCAATTATGATACCATTTATTAGGAAGTAAATATCAAAGAGGTAGCCAAGTTGGGTTTAAAGCACCAGAGGTAAAATCATTTTCAACTGAAATGCTTAGCGTATGAAAGTGGCCAAGCACATGGTATTTTTACATCAATATATTTTCAATTGCTTGGTTTGGGCTAAAATTCAATACTGGTATGTGCCTTTAAAAGTTAGTTAGTGTTTTACACTATACATCCTTTTTCTTGGAAGTCACCTGAGAACAGAAAAAATGGTTGAAGTTGTGCAAGTTTTGTAGGCAGTGAGGTGCCTTATAATCCTTCATCGGGACATATTTGTTTTTAAAGTGTATTTTCATCAAATTACTCATCTTCTGGTTCTTGTGGCCTGTATGTGTGCTGTTAAAACAATTTTCTATTGTTCTTATCAACACGAACTTAGCAAACATTCTTTTATATCCAGTTCATTTGCACTAAACTAGCATGCAGGTTCTTATTTGTTGGGAACTACTCACAATCAATAAAACCGAGCAATCTAATATCTTAATGTCTCTTTCATTCAGAAGCTTTATGCTTCACTGACTTGAGTTCATTTTGATATTGCTAACTTTTCAACTTCTTGTACTCTAAATAGAAAATTGCACATGATTAGCCCTCATTTAAAGTGAAAACTGGTATTTGGCTTTGTGTTGAGTCTTTTGGTGTAAAGTGATATGCATAGCAGTATTGTAAAGTATTTAGAGAATACCTGTTTTTATTGTTCTATTTTAAGTGGATGCCAATCTATAAACAAATCATTTAGCATCTAATACTAATGTTGATCATCGATTCAGTGGCAGGAACTCCTGGTGGTGTACACATATATGCTGTTTTCATCTCTAAATCCTCCGGTGAGACTCTAAAGACGTACGTAGGCCGTACTGATATCGAGCTTTGGATTATTCCAACCTTTGAAAATTCAGCATGGTCGATTATGGCCATCTCTTTCATATCGCTACTAGCCATGTCTGCTGTCCTTGCTACATGCTTCTTTGTACGTAGACATCGAGTAAGGAGAGAACAACCTAGACCTCTCAATGTGAGAGAGTTCCATGGAATGAGCAGCCAGTTAGTAAAAGCAATGCCAAGTCTCATATTTACGTCAGTCCTGGAAGATAATTGTACTTCAAGAACATGCGCTATTTGCTTGGAGGACTATAATGTTGGAGAAAAACTCAGAATTCTGCCCTGCTGTCACAGTATGTTCAACTCATTTTGTACTATTATGTGCTCTTTATTTTGCTCGGAGATAGTCATAACATTTTATTGCTTTCCCTTTTTCTTATCGTTAAGATCAGTTAAATAATCAGCAAGAATGTTATTCATCCGGAACATAATTTGGGTAGATTGATGAGCCGATTTTCCTACTTTTTCTTTGCAAATTCATGTTGGAAGACTAAGATTTGTTTGGGACGGCTTTTTTACTGCTTCATAACTCAGCTTTTTAGTACAACAAAAAAGATGCTTTAAGAAGCAGTAAGAAAGCAGTTCCAAACGAAGCCTAAATGTTTTATTAAGTTTTTTATTTTTTGTTTCCCTTGTAAACTTATAAAGCAGTTTTATTGGAGAGATATTGATTAGCATCTACTGAAGATATGGTAGTTGAAATTGAACTTATTCTGAACGTGTCTACAATTGAGAAATATATCCATTCGATGGATAAAAAAAATTAGTGTTGATGGATTAGGAAAAAAGAATGAATGTAGATCTATAACTTGGATGGAAGTCAAAAGGATTTGTAAAGCCTGTATTGCCAAGTTCCAAACTTAGAGCATATATATTTTTGTATTTTTATGGATCTATATACGGCCTTTATGTTTGGATTGAACCTATATGGGAAGGCCTTGCTCTCCTGTTAAGAGTTAAAGTTCCTGGTACTGATTTTGGCTAGAGTGTTTTGATGCTTATGCGTATTCTGAATTTCACCATTATTTGGGAAAATGCTTTATTAATATTTTCTATTCACAATAAATTCATCCTAAAAACTGAATAATTCCGAAGGATTAAATGTTGTACACCCTGTAAGGCTGGAACATGAAGGTGCATAATTTAGAACGCCAGGAAAATAATGACATTCATGGAAAGCTTCTGTAACATCTTTTAGCTTGTTCTTATGATGCATGCAAAATTGTATTCAGAATCATTGGACTCTATAAACCGTCTTTATTGGAGATGCAAATGCATTATAAATTGCTAAGAACTTCAACATTAGCACCAATCTATCTTTTTCTTTTATATTTTGAAGGTAATATCTTATACTCTTCATGGTTTCATGTACAGAGTTCCATGCATTGTGCGTTGATGCATGGCTTACTACATGGAGAACATTCTGCCCTGTTTGCAAACGCGATGCGAGGACGGCCATGATGAAGCCACCCGCCTCCGAATCAACTCCACTGTTATCTTCCGCAGCTGCATCTTCTGCAATCCTATCATCATTTCGCTCCTCTTTTCACTCATCGGTCGCAGCATCTCCATCTGCAGCCATACCAATTAGTTCCACGCCACTCCACTCACCATTAACCTCTAGAAACCATTCCATCTCCAACCTATCTCGCCCGCCTATTCCGCAAGTATCCTATAACAACTTGACATCCATCCACACCAGCAGGAGCACCGCAGAGCTTAGGAATGCATCTTCTTCTTATAGATCTTATGCTTCCAGTCTTGCATCTCCGCATTCATTGGGTTATCCCATCTCTTCCTCTTTTATCTCCAGGCATGGTTCCAATTATAATCCTAGTCCTAGTTATGCCTCCCCTAGCTACCTTGGTAGGTCTTCAAGCCGGCATTCATATCTTCAGCATTGCGAATCTGGAACGAGCCTCTCTGCCATGGAATCTACACATTCTCTTCCAGGATGCTCTTAAGCTTATCATTCATACTTTGTTTAGTTTATTTGACCTTATCTGACAGGTCTTTGGGCCAGCATTGTGAATCTGGAATGTGCTTCTCTGCACCCCCTCCTCCAGGATTTTCATGAGCTTTTCTTGTACTCTCTAGGCCATCATTTTACTTTTAGAAAGCCTGCTGGAATCAAGGAAGCATCACGTGGATGGAGTTTCGTGCCTGTGAACTGTGCTAAAATGGGCGGATCTTTGCTGTTGGCAGATGATATGGAGAGTGGATTCTTCTTTTGACATTGCTCACAGGAGAATTTGGTAAATATTCAGTTCGTTTTCTGTGGTTTGGTGTATATATAGTTGTTGAGGAGCAGATATTACCTTGATTTGTTCTTTAGATTGGTACTGATTGTTGAGCGATTTTCTTAGTCATTGATAATCAGATGTGTTTTGACTACTTTTTCTCAATTAAAATGTTTTTTTATTAATCAAATCAGAGCGTTCAAATGGAAGGTAGCATGAATGTATTACTGTCTCCGGCTATTCATGTGTGACCAATTTAGTCCCATATTAATATTTTTTTTTTCCAATTTAGTTTATTGGTTATGCAAAATTTATTCAAAATAATCCTTCATATTGTATGTGTGATATAAAATTGATATCAAATAAATCTCTCGACTATGTAAAATTGATTCCAGTTTAGTCTCTAGGGGCTATTTTGGACCAATTTTTTATAGTTGAGAGATTAAATTAAATCAGTGTGATAATTTGAAACTAAATTTGTACTGAAAAACTTAAGGTTTCAATCTTATTTTCTGATTGAAGGTAATATTTGTTATGAATGTTAAAATTTACTGGTGGTTTTTGGTTTTTATCTCTGTTGATGATCTATTACTTCATAGGACCTTATACAGTTATATTTTACCCCTGATTTAACATGTTGTTGCATCACACAAGAGACCATGTGGTTGCTGGATATTTGTTGGTGGTAAATCAGTCATTTTGTATTTGAGTTAGCTGCTGTTAATGACAAAGCTTACAAGAATTATTTTTATGTGCTCGAAAGAGTATTGTTTGACGATTGAGCTTTTCCATCAACCAATAAGCCAAGCCAAGGTTATGCCTCTTCTCTAGCAAGGTATTGGAACATCCTCTGAGTGAGTTTGAAGCACTTACATTAATGCAATGGGCTCTTAGTATAGATATAAAGGCGATAGCCCTCTATGATAGATTGCTAGCTGTTTCTTTATATTTTTTTTGGATAAAGATTTTTGAGTGGTGGATCCTTCACTATTGACCATAAGAATGATACCTATAGCAGTGAGAACTATGGATATGAAGTTGAAACACCACCCTTAGTTCAAGGACCTCCAATAGTCTCTCATGTAGGAATTTTTATTGGGTGTGGAGTGCGGACGTAGCTCTATGTCTTCAATCTTGTAACACCATGTCACGTGAAGCCCACCTTTACCCCACCATTCTAATAATCACATTTTTTTTACAGTGCGGCCTGACGACCCGACACGCCCTATTCATGAAAAATTGAAAAAAAAATGCAGTAATACATGGGGTTTTAGTTGATGGCGCGGGGTATTTACCCCGCTTAAAAAATATTTTCTCGCACCTGAAAGCTGAGAAAGAAAGAGAAGAGAGGAAGCTATGAAGATGGATACCGATATGGAGGACTTTGAAGATTGCTCGGAGATCGGAAGGCGTTACGCAAGAGACCCAACAAAATAAAAAAAGAAGTTTTTCAGCAAATTATCGAAGATAAGTTGGAGATATTATAATTATATTCAGAAAGAGAAAAGAGCTAAGATTGAGAATGAGGACACCAATTCCCTAATTGAACTTTTCAAAGATCGAGCAAATGATGATAACATGTTTGCATGGGACGTTCAATATGATGATAAGGATAGATTGTTGAATTTTTTATGGGTTGATGGGGTGGGGATATCGAATAGATCACGACTGCTTTGGAGATGTGATCATTTTTTATACTAGCTATAGACTTAACAAATATAATATAGCATGTGCACCTTTTGTTGGAGTAAATAATCATTGGCAGAATGTTCTTTTGGGGTGGCTTTTTTATTGGAGGAAACAATAGAATCATTTACATGATTGTTTAGAACATTCTTGTGAATTATGGGTGATAAACATCCAATTATAATATTTACTAATCAGGACCACACAATGGCTCGGGCAATAAAAATTGCATTATCTCAAACACGTCATAGGCTTTGCTAATGGCGCATCACCAAGAAGGTGCCGTCCAAGGTGTGTTGCTACAACAACAACAACAAAGTTAGAGGCCTCTTTTATAAATGTTTAAACAAGTGTGATTTAGAGGAGTTTGAGAGTAGTTGGGATGAAATGATCAATGAAGGCAACCTCCACAACCATGACTGGTTGAAAGAACTTTACAAAATAAGGAAGAAATGGTCCACAACATACAACAAGAGTTGTTTTAACCTTGATATTCTTTCAACACAACATAGTGAATCCACTAACATGGTGTGCCACGAAATTTCTAAGCCTACGAGTACCATAATTGACTATTTTTTAGGGTTAGAGAAGGTGATGAAAACATGACATCTAAATGAACATAATGAAGATTTCAAATTCAGGCAATCCGATATTGTACCTTTAGTTAAAAGTAGTCCAATTCTCAAGCAAGCCGTTCGATTTTATTCACGAAAATTGTATTCATTATTTGAGGAGTTTTTACAGGGTGTGGGTGGAATGAGCATAGCTCATGCCTCAAGCCACTCATCAACATTTTTCATCAAAACTGTTGATAAGATTAATCAATCTTACCATTGGACTGTTCATTTTGATGAAAAAGAGGGAACCATTGAATGCAGTTGTTGAAAGTTCAGCATGATGGGCTTACTATGTTCGCATTGCTTGAGAGTAATAATGTAGTTTGATATAATTAATATTCCTCCAAAATATTTAATTATGAGATGGTCAACTCGATCTAGAAAAGATATTTATTCCGGTCGGCTGATGACATGTATGGAAAATAAAGTTTTCCCATCTTATGTCTTAGGTGGTATGATATTCCAAAATTATTTCAGTAGATTCACATATCAAATTATCACAAGAGGGCAAGGGAATGAGGAAGAAGAACAGTACATGTTAGCTGTAATGCCTAACATGGCTGAGAATGTTGATTTGATACTAGATGTCAAGAAGAACCATAAGTTTATTGCGAAATCGAGTATGACAAAAAAAAAAAAAAAAAACACACACACACACTAAAGTGCAGACCCAAAGATATTTCTAATGCAAGATTGAAGAGTCATTAGGAGAAGAGAAAATCTATGAGAAAGAAAATTGAGGAATAACTTACTCCATCAACTGAATAATGTACATTAGTGGAACCAATTAGTCAAGTTATCTTTCCAAACATATCAGATTGCTTCACAGCGAGTTCACCCTTCGTCGACCAACTAGCCAATTGAACCCTGAATATCTACAGACGATGAATGGAATAATTGCTGCATAGAGACTTCTGTGATTTTTAAATATTTCTTAATTTTAATTTGCTAATTTGAATTTGTATGTTTGCTCAAATATTACTCAGAAAAATCTCGGTGATAAATTTTGTAATGTTTGATGTTTCATACTTAATTTGGATATCTTCTGCTACCATTCGTACTGCATAGTACCGCTCGATACAGTTCGGTACCTCTCTATGCAAGATTTATAATTTGAGCTGATGATAGTGTTTAAATGTTGTCCTACACAAAGTCAACTCCAGCAACGTGTTCGCAATTTGCTTAATAAGTAAAACTTTATGAAAGTAGCATGCACAAATTTTTTTTTATTCAATAAACATGTGATTTGCTAGAATGTAGTAATATTATTTACAATGTTACAATGTACATACTATAATTATTTTGACTGGTGGTGAATGGGGGCTTAATCTCTTTGTTTTTTCGGTCTAGCCTTCATCTCACCCTTCTTGCTATGCCCGTGCTGCATGAATTAGCTAGGCCAGCATAATCCACATCACCCGGTAGATTAGATGGGTTGTCATTCGTCTATACATTGGGTTTAAATGGGCTTTCAATGACAATTATAATTGTAGCAAGGCCTTCATCCACCACTTTCTTCTTCTCATCTATCATGGTCGTGGATGAAGATTCAATGTGTTCTCCCAGGGTGGACAAGGGTTTAAATGTTGGGAAGTTCTCAAATATAAACTTCTTCATAGCCTCAAATCTCCTATCAATCTCCCGTTGCTTGAAAACAGGATGTTCTAATGTAGCAATTCTTCGCTCTATCAGAGTAGTTGTTGATTCGAGATGAACTAACCTTTTCTGAAGAATTTTACTTTGACCAAATATCTTGTGGAGGGATTATTTAATACTAACATGGTGTAGTTTAATAGGGGAAGTTGGTTGTTGCTACCCAGGTGACCTGGGGGGCTGTGGGTGCTTGGTGGGCTGGGAAGTCTGAATGGGATTGGGGGTTTGGAGGGCGTAGGTGATCTCAAAGGCGAAGAAATAACTACGCGAGGTTTGTGCAAGGTGAGTTGTAAGTTGGGGATTCTTTCAGCTGATGTGGATCTTTGATCTATAGATGTATGTGGGGGCTGAGAGGGAGGTCTTGCTAATAATGTCCTCTTCTCATTGGTTATTCCATCAAAAGAAATTAATATATATATATGCATTTTCGAGACCTTCAAATAAATTAGTAGCCTCTGCTTCGTTATAAATTATATCACAATCACATCGAAGAAAATGTGGTCTTGATTTTGAATCCACTGGTTTGTGGAATATAGTGTGCTCTAGAAACTATATCTGCAATCAAAACATAAGGATGGCAGCATAAAAAGGAAAATTAAAGATTCTACATCATTCATATATAAAAAGTTAATCCAATGTACTCACAATTATAATCTGTACAAAATCATTCAAGCATCCATGTGGTTGTGCTTTTCTAAACTTCTTCGCAATTGCATCAAAGTCAGCAACAAGAAATTCTCTAATGGATTTTGCCCAATTGTAAGATAAAAAATTTTCTACATTACGAGCTACACTGAGGATAGTAGCTGGTCTTCGGTAGTTGCGCAGAGGAAAGAAAATGTTTGACAATAAGAAAATGATGAATTTCTTCTCTACATCAGGAAGTGGAGTTGAGTCATCTAAACTAAGAACCTCATTCTTAATGTCATTTGTTAATTTTCTCATGATTCTGGTGCTTCCCAAGTCAAAATGGGTTTGTTTGTTTGGCAGGCCTAAAATCATAGAAACCTCATCGGGAATAAATGGTAACTTCTGGTCCTTAATGATAAAACATTGCTTCTTAATATCCCAGTACGACAACAACTTGTAAACCAACAAAACATTTTGTACGTATCGCGGCATCACAAGAAAATGATGAAGATTATTTTGCGTCAAACTATCCACAAAGTTTTGGCCAAATATTTCAACCAAACGATCACAGACTTCTCTAAATGTCGTTGTTCTACAATGGAAGCTAATCTTTGGAACATATCCCTACGTAATATGATGTATTTGA